AATGTGCGTGTGTGTGTGTGTGTGTGTGTGTGTGTGTGTGTGTGTGTGTGTGTGTGTGTCACTGTGGCAGGCTGGAGGCAGCCTCTGGCTCTCCTACATTGTCTGTTCCTTTGTTTTTTTCCAGCACTAAGGATCGAACTCAGGACCTTACGCTTGCAAGACAGGCACAGCACCACTGAGCTAAATCCCCAGACTCCCCCCTACACTGTCTGTCAGAACCACACCAGTCAGAACAAAGCTTCTTGCTGTTTTATTGAAAGCCTTCCCAGTCACATAAAAAGCAGCACATGAGGTACGGTGGGAGCCCCTAGAGCCTGCCCTCTCCCTGCACCCTGACAGACCCAAGGACCTGTCCTGGAGCAGGTGTGTGGACAGCACCTTCCCCTGAGTCCCCCACCCCTCCAGGAGCCACAGCCAAGTCTAAACCCAGAGGCTCTGCCTGCCTCTCTGCACCTGATGGTCGAGTCTACTCCAGCAGACAGTTGTGCCCGATTCAGGGCTGGATTGTGCCTGGCCTCAGCTGGAGGACAGACTGGCACTTGGTGCTTCCAGGCAAGGTCACACTGGCACAGAATCCGCCACTGTGACCACACCGAGCCCAGACCGAGGAGCAGCCAAGACAGCCTTTGTCCGTGCCAGCTCTCTAACAAAACAATTGTGTGTTTGAAGTGACTGTTTTATGATGAAGACAACTGTTCTTTCCTGAAACAGGCTGACAGCCAGCAACTGTTTGAATTAACAATTCTCCAGCCACTCCCAGGCAGACAGGGACCAGAGCTGGTGGCCAGGTGCTGGGTTAGTCTGAATTCAATAGTTTGGTGGATATTTCAGTTTTTGATTGAATTTCGTCACCATTCTATTTATCGCTATTCCCAGTAACAGATGGTTGGCTGAATTGCTAATTGTTTAAGCAAGCGATTGGAGGAAGTTGATGGTGTGTTTATGTTTGGGGGTGTGGGGGTGTCTACTTGAGGAGGACTTTGCTAAACCACCCCCTTGTGAACTGACAACTACTCACAAATTAGTGCGAAAGACTGTTATTTGGCCAAAGTATTTTACTGATCCGCCTTTTTGATTTGGCAGTTGCTCAGTGAAACTGATCAGGTTGATGGTTGTTGAACTGAATTCATCAATTTAGAATGATCAATCCTCTGAGGAAGAGATGCTGATGGAAATAAGCGAGTCGGGCTGGATCTGAGACCCAAGCAAACTTCCAGCCCAAGGGATGGCCCAGTCTGAATCCCCTAGGCCCCGAGTAAGGAGCAGGACAGGGAGGGGACACAAGCAGACTGTCCGGAAGTCAGCCGGGGGCCATGGGAGCCCCCAAAGCGAAGAAGCAGATTACAAGGCAGCTCTGCCCCTCCCAGCACCAGGGCTGGGGGTCCTGGCAAGGGTCACACCTCTGAGTATGGGGGTGGCGCCAGGCCACCCTCAGGAGACTTGGAGGGCAGGGAGACGGCTTCCTCGTAGGATGGCAGGACCACCTGGGAAAGAGAGACAGAGGGCTGAGAGTTACCAAGAAGGATCCACAGTCCCAACATGGAATGGAGAGACCAGAACCTGGCCTGTGGGAACACGGTGACAGCAGTTCTGTCCTGCTGGGAACAGCTGCCTTTGCCTGCTAGAGGCAGGTTCCCCATGTTTTGTAACAACGCCCCACTTCCCTCAAGAAAACCGTCTCAATCAGAGTGCTCCCAAAAGAACTGGTCCCAGCAGGTGTGGTAGTGCACACCTATAACCCCGGCACTCTGAGCCAGACGGGTTGCAAGTTTGAGGCCAGCCTGGGCAGTTTAGCTACTTACAGAGAACTTGTCTCAAAATGTAAAAGAAAAAAATTTTAAAGGCTGGATATGTTGGTCAGTGTGAAGGTTCTGAATTCAACCCCCAGTACTGCAACCCACAACAGCTACAATTGTATCTACTGATCCCATCCCACAGCTCCAGGGGGCAGGCCCAAACAAGCCTGCTTGTTCAAAGCAGAATTTCACCCCATTGGCTAGAGTTGTGGGTTTGGGGAAAGACACAGGAAGCGAGATGGGCCATTCGCATTGTAGTCCCCTTTCTGGTGGGGTATAGCTGAGAGGGTAGGAGCTCAGCCTGAGGGTTTTGGCAGCCATTTTGCCACATGAAGGAGAAGGCTGCCCAAGAATGGGACCAAAAATGAGCAAAAGAGAGGCCGGAGAAAGAGAGGATGAAATCATATCCCCACAGCAGGACTCGACCGGGCCTGAACCCACACCTACTCTGGTCTCGCAAGTTCTGCAAGCGAGTAAATTCTCTTTTGTACTTGCTAGGTAGAGTTAGGTCTTTGCCACTTGCACCCAGAAATATCTTGAGTAACCCAACCCTCAGCGACTCCTAAGCCATTCCTATCTTCACCCTGGGAAGCTGTTTCCCAGCTGACTGTACCCACGGACCAGACAAGACTAGGCCAGAATCGCCTTCTCCAGGAAGCCTCCCCCGATGCCCCAGATATCACCTCTGTCCCTGTGCTTCCCACCAAGCTGCAATGGCATCTACTCCTGGGTTCGCCTGGACTCTGCATGCCGCTAGGGCAGAGGGAGTGTCTTGGTATCCCCTGCACCCAGGATTGGATACAAAACCAAAGGAGCGAGAGATAGTAAATGCTGAATGAATGAATGAACGAAGTAGGCTATGATCAGAGCTGGAGAGGTTCACATTTCTCCTGATTCATCGTAAAAGTGGAGGAACCCAGGTCCAGAGAGGGAAAGGAACCAGCCCCAGATGGCACAAGATGAGAGGAGTAGAGCTGGGATTGGACGGCAGCCAGGCTCACCTTGGGGGGCGGCTTGGAGTCGCTCCTCTCTGCAGCCAAGTTCACGTACTTCATGAACTGATAGCACCTCCACACGCACTTGAACATGTAGACCTGCAGAAAGGCGGGGTCAGCTGTCCTACTTGCTGCCCAGAAGCCTGGACAGATGCCGGCACCTCCCGAGGGGCCGGTGCTCACCCCACAAGGCAGCACCTAGCTGCTGCTGCTCTGACGGGGAGCTCACTACTCCAGAGGACCCTGCCCGTCCTGAGACAGAGTGGACAGTGGGCAAGGTCCTCTTCACAAGGGCCTCGGGTGTGTTGTTTTTCAGAGTAAGCAACAGCAGCATGTTCAGCGCTAGTGCTCACAAGTGAAGGAAGCAAACGCAGGTCCGCAGCTTAGCTGTCTGCACCGCTTCCTCCCAGCAGTGCAAGTGAGAATAGAGGGAGGTTTCAGACGGACAAGGGCCAAGGAGTCCCAAGGGGCCAATGCTCCAGGAAGAACAGCTGGCCCCACTGCCCCTGAGGGAGAGGAGCAAGTCCAGCATCTGGGAGGTCTTGTTTTATGGTGCCCTTTGGCAGGGCTCAGAAACAGTGAAAGCCCAGGGCACAAAGGCTGGAGAGCGAGGGTGGGGGAGTCAGGGCTGAGCTGGGCTTGTGTCAGCCTAAGTCTGTCTCCCCCTGAAGCCTTCGGAAAGGTTTCCTGGTGGCTCGTGAGTACATTTATGCTAGGACAGCCCCGGAGGGATGTGCAGAGGCACCGAGTGCAGCCTCCAGGGTGGCGTCCTCTGCGAGCAGAGATGGCTCAGGGCCTCGATGGAAGGCAGGACCTGGAGACCCCGCTGCAGGGAAGACGGAGGGAATGCTACCGTGCAGCCGTGCCCCTGGGGGGGCTGTGGGCTTTGGCGAGCTGCCTGGGGGTCTTCTTCAGCTCAGCTGTGGTTCTGAGTGTCTGCAATGGTCCTGCATTCCTCTCGTCACCAAAGAAGCACGGCTTTAACATCCTTCTGCTGAGGGACGGCCGGTCTGGCTGCAGCCTCCAGCATCCCAGAATTCCCTGAGCCGCCTGGGCCTTTACACATGGCTAGCATGCCCCCCTGTGCCACCTCTTTTCCCAGATGGAAAGCCCTGGCTTTGCTGACCTCCTGCATTTTCCTGCTGTGTCACTTGGCTGCTCAAACTGCTCCAAACACTCCCTTGTACCACCACCTCCCCTCCAAACTGGACGCTGAGCCAGACGCTGTGCTCTGTGCCGGACACTACAACTCCCCCTTCTCCTCAAACTTCTGTTCTCGTGACCTCAGGTCTGTCTCACCATGGTGCCTGGGTCCCACAAAACTCCTGCGGGCCAAGCGAGACTCCGAGAACCCTGCTAGGTGACCTGGGGCCCGGAGAGAGAGGCCAGCGGAGCCTGACCCCACAGCCACCAGAATGGGCCAGGCTCACACCAGATCAGCCCAAAGCTGAGCCCAGTGCCTCTCTGGGTGCTGCCTTGAGCCTCTGAGGCCTGGACACAACCATGTCCAGTTCATGGGTGTCCCCAAGAACCCCAAGGGGAGGAGCTGGCGTGAGAGGGGCCAGAAAGGATCTTACAGCAGAGCAGGAGACAGCAAGGACACACATGCCTGCCCCCCGACATCCAGGCACAGTGGGCCTGGGAATTACAAGGCGGGTAGGGGCCACTCACCTTCAGGATGAGGACGCTAATGAAGGCGATGGAGAAGATGAGCATCATCTTGACGAACTGACTGTGGCCCATGCCCTCCTGGCTCGGGAGGTAATTCTGCAACGAATGCGGGGCCATATCACCCATACCCAGGAAACCCCACTCCATACCCACAGGACCACAGGGTGACAGAACCATCGCCCAGTCACCGGCCACAGCCACCCTAGGAGGCAGGTGTGACCGGTCAGCCCCATCGGGCAGGTGGCAACCCCAGGGAGCAGGTGTGGCTGCGGCCTCCCAGGTCCCCATCTCCAGCAGGTGGCAATGGCTGCCCGTAGCCACCCTGAGCCCTTACTAATGGAAGATGTGGCCACGCGAGCCACCCAGTGCTGTCACACCCCGACCGAGGCCCTGAGGAGAGAATCTCTGGGATGGTTGGCAAATACATCCATGCATTCTGGGATGCTGCTCCCTCCTAAACGCGGACTTGTTTTCCCCTCTGAGTGTGGCTAGGCTTAGCAGCTCACTTTTAACCAACACAATGTGGCAGAATGTCGGTGTGTGACATCCTGGACAAGGACGTAAATAAAGGACGCTGCTGCCTGCTCTCCTCTTTCTCCCTCTTGGACCATCTGAGTCGGGGTAGAGGGCAGCAGCCACGTCATGAGGACAGTCAGCAACACTACTAAAGGCTGCATGGTGAGGAGCGGAGACCAGGCACCGGCAGCCCCTCGAGGAGCCATCTGGGATGCGATCCCTTGGACTGGGCCAAGAGTGGCCGCTATCTTGGCTGCAGCCTCGAGGGACCCTGAGTCCGGACCATGGGGCCAGCCACTCCCAATCCTGATCCTCAGAAACAGTGGGGAATAACCAGTGTACGTTGCTCTAACCTTTGGTATGTGGGAGTAATTTTTCAGGCAGCAATAAAAAAAAAATTAAAAAAAAAAAATTAGCATTATTTCCACGTGTGGTTCCCAGGCCAGAGCCCCCTGGGATCAGGCAGGCCTGCTCCCAAAGCCACCTGCTCCTTGATGGACTTCCTCCCCTTCCTGGAACCTGCCTCCTTCACTCCTTACACGTTTCTCCCTGAGAGCGCTCCCTCAATAAATCACTCACAGGAGCCTTCCTCCGGGCAGCCAAGCCTGAGACACAGGGAGGGCACAGAAGGTGAAGTAACTCGCCCAGGACCACACAGCCAGTCTCTGCCCGGACTCACCATGTGGTTCATGGACTTGAAGTTGAGATAGGTGGGCACTTCCATGTAGGAGCTGCAGAGGGTCAGGATGCTGAGGAAGAAGTCCAGCAGCTGCAGGGTCATCAAGGGGACCTTGGAGGGACCCTGGGGAGGACAAAGAGGAGGGGAAAGAGTGAAAACCAGCAAGGCAGGCGCAGCCACTGTGGGCACATGCGGACCTCCCCGAGGGACTGCTCGGCCAGTGACATTGGCCGCTCTCGGGTCACTGTGAACAGACAGAAAGGGACACCCTGATGGTCACAGTCAGTGACCCAGGTCTGGGAGCAGACCCAGGACTGGAACCAGGGTCTCGTGATGCCCAGGCCAGGGCTCTCCCACACAGAGCACTTGGTCTCAACAAGGACAATAGGCAGGGACTTATAAAAGCAACTCCAGAGGGACTGTGGCATAGACTGCCATCCTACCGTGGGTGCTGGTCACCGGTGGCCCTGGCCGTCCGCTGCCATCTGTCTGGGGACTGGGGCTGGGGCTGCACAGGAAGGCGCCCTTGCCTTGCCTTGGGTCCCACTCACACAGAGCCACATGGCCCGCAGTTAGGGGCACTTCCAAGATGCCGAAGGCCTGCATTCATTCCCCTTAGAGCCCGCCCGTGACAGGCCATGAGAGTGCATGCAGATACCGCCTCCAGGACAGACCTGGGAGCTCCGGCCCCAGGACTCCAGCCGGGACTGACCTGGCCTTGGCTCCCGGCCTCTCAGCTGGCTGGTACTCACCGGCCGAGTCCGGGAGGCAAACTTGAGGTAGGCAGGCAGCTCAATGTAGGAGCCCAGCAGGGTGAGCAGGCACAGCAAGAAGTCCATGATTTGTAGGGACAGGAAGGGCAGCAGGAGCTTCTCCCGGTTCTGGAAAGTGGGAACCACACTGTCACTGAGGCCCTCACAGGCAGCCAGAGTTCCCTCACGGCCCATGTGCCCCTTCCCTCCTGGCTGCTGAGCTCTTTGGCACAAGCCTGGGCCCACGCACTCCTCTGAGTGACATCCCAGGACAGGAGAGGTGTCTCTGTGTCTCAGGGGACCTCAGGGACTATCCCGTTCTACTGGGGCTCTCCAAGAAGCACCTCAGTTTGTCCAGGAATGCAGTAAGGAAGAATCCTGTGCCCATTTTACAGAGAAGACCGGAGGGGACACCTTGGGAAAGGGACACCAGGGCCAGAGGGGACATCCTGGAGAAGGGACACCGGACCTACATCCAGAAGGTGACTAGGAGCAGGCTGGAGAGCAGGGGCCAGATCCTCGAGGCAAGAGGACTGGCTCAAGCTCAGGTTGAGGGGCTGCCCTCGTGACAACGACCTTCCTCTGTCAGCTACTGCCAGATGCATGAAGTCATAGGAAGAGCTCCAGGAGACCTGGCTGGAGTCCCTGTCCTTCAGCTGAAAGGGAGTGACCCATATTCGTGCATATGCACCCATAGATGGGGACGAATCACAGAAAGGATGGTTTCCTAATGTATCATATGGGTGTCCAAAACCACTCAGGTGGTGACAGGGAAAACCCAACTGAATCTGAGTCCTTGGGGACAGCCTGCTCCACTTTCTTAGCAGGACACTTTGATTTTGTGCAGGAGCCTCTGCAGCCATCCTGTGCAATGAGGACTTGAAGTTAAGGTGGGTGAGGCCTGAGTTCCAAGAGAGACGGGGCTCTAGAGGGCTGAATCACAGCTTTCAGGCAGGGTGGAGGCATTCCAGACTAGAACCAAACCATCACCCTCTCTGTCACCCTACCCGTGCCTGGCCACCTATCAGCCCAGGAAGAACGACACTCTGTCTAGTGGCAGTGTGGTGAGGCTGCCCTCCTGTCTCCTTGAGGCCAAGGGACAGGGGCTCCTCTTTTGCCTGCCTCTATCTCCCTTGGCCTTGCCGTGGGCCAGGACCTGAGGCCGTCACATCGGACGCCCCTGTCTCTCTGTGGACCCGTCTACCTCAGTGAGGCCAGGAGCTCGGAGTCTCCAGATCGTGAGTCCCACTCTGGGCCCCAGGGCCTGCTGACTGCTGGGAACTGCGCTGGACGCACCTGCGCACCCATGTTTTGGCTCCCATCCCTGGTGACAAAGCCTTCCCCTGTCCCCAGCCTCAAGGCCAGCCGTCCGCTTTTCTCTTTCAAAATCCCTGCCCACACGGGCAGAGCAGGATGTGGGCACCAGCTAGTTCTCCAGCGCACTGACCAGCACAGCCCACCAGCCTGGGCTCCCTGCAAGGAGGGAGGCCCCCGAAGGAGGCTGTGAGGATCTCTAGGGCCCAGGTGGGCTCCCCAGAGGCCCAGCTCCCCACCCTCTGCAACAGGAACGGGAGAGGCAGGGGGCACCTGGGGCCCCTGGGGCCCCTGCCTACCTTGATCACCCCAACCAGCAGGCTCAGGCTGATGATGAACAGCATGGTGATGAGCAGGAAGCTGGAGACCAGGTCCGCTGAAAGGGAATGGAGGGTTGAGGGGTCTGGGGTGCCGTGGGACCCCAGCAAGGCTCCAAGGACCACACTTCGGGAGCCGCTCACTTGGGGACCTAGTGTGAACAGGAAAATGCAGCCTGCCCCGTGCCATCCCCAGCCTCGAGGGGAAAAAGACAGCAGAGCTCCTCAGGCCCCCGATGGTGTAACAGAGGCTGGGTGGGAGGTCAGGGAGGCCACAGGGCCAGGCAGGAGTTTCCATGGCATTCCCGCGTGCTGGGAAGCGGTGGGCCGCCTCCTTGGGCTGGCAGATGCGCGGAGGTGCCACCCTCTGCTGTCACCGCCAGAGATGCCAGGGGCAAGAGGGACGGCACCATCTGCAGGGAAGCACAGAGGCTCCAGGGCCCCAGCAGGGCAAGACCGGAGCCAGCCCGGGCCCAGCCGGGCCCTGCCCGCACCCTCCCGGCGGCTGTCCCAGACCCACCGATCTGGAGGTAGAGAGTCCTGGACAGCCTGCAGGGCGCCTTGCCGTGGGCCACCTCCACTGCATGCTCGATGAACAGCAGGACACTCATGACCTGGGGGTAGAACACAGCACCATCAGCCCCACGTGCGCTCGGGGTCTTGGGGAGATGGGAAGCCCTAATGAAAGCGGCCTCTCCAGAGTCAGCCTGGCCTGTCTCTTCCCATCTGTGTGAGCTTGGACAAATTACTTGATTTCTCTGTACCTCTGTTTCCCCATCTGCACAACGGGACTAATTCTAATAGCCGCCTTAGGAGCCACTGTGAAGAGAGACTCAGAATCAGGCCCAGCCCCGAAAGGGCTGTTTGTGCCCATGGCAGACGGTCTGGTGTGAGGCGGGGAGAGGGCCCTGTTCGAAGGCCAGGCACCGGACCAGGCTTGGTCACAGCACCTGGGCCTCGTGGAGCCCCGCGCCCTGGGGACCAGGAGCACAGGCATGGGCAGCCCTGAGACAGCCTGTCCCAGAGTCACGGGGCCCTGACACCTGTCCCCTCGGCCCCGGTGTCCACATCCACATGGGGGGATGACTCACAATTACCTCGTAGGGCCGTAGGCGGCCAGATGAGGCCATCCATTAAAGAACCTAGCAGGTAGTGAGCACTCGCTGTGTGTCAGCTGCTGTGATCTTAGAGGTCTCTCTGTCCAGGTCCCTAAGGCCCACCTGACACGCGAGCCCTGGGCCACGCAGCCTCAACTTAAAGGTTTCCAGCAGAGGGACTTCAGCTGGTCCTGTACGTCTGTGTCCTTGCAGCAGTCTCTCCACCCTTCCCTACCACATACACATTCTCCAGGAACGATCTGCTCACACTGAGAACAACACACATATCCCCTTCCTTCGAGTGGGCACTCTACCTTTATTAATAGAGCCCAATTTACACTGGCTTTCTAGGTAGCCTTGTACTGGCAACTCATGCCCAGCTGACAGACAACTACCACCTGTTTCCCCTATCTGATTATGTGGGGTTTCGTTTTGTTTTCTTTTCTTTTTTAGCTCAGTCACAGGTCTTGGTTTGTCTTCCTGCCGCAGCACATCCTGTTCTGGGTCTCCGAAAGGACCAGCCCAGAAGACTGACGAAGAGTGGTTCCAGAGTTCAGGTCAGGTGGATTTGAACCCAGCTCACTGTGTGACCTTGGGCAAGTCACTCAACCACCTGAGCTTTCTCATCTGGAAAGGGGCACTCACAGGATGCACTGCGTTTGCAAGGCATTGAGCTCAGGCGCTCAGCACAGTCAGCTTTGCCGTTGCAAGTTTCCGTGGAGGAGGACAGTGGGCTCTCACGGCAGGCTCGCTCTGGCTGCCCCTCCACCTGGTGCCGAGGGGCCAGAAAGGCTTCGCTCACAGGAGGCAGTTGCGTGGGGCCGTGGCGGTGTGCCCAGGAAGCAGCCTGAGACAAAAGCTGCTGCTCAGACCCGGGCAGGAGCCCCACCTGCTCTCCTCTCAGTTTCACCTTAACGAGAGAAAGGGAAAGGGAGGTAGGGGATAGCTCAGCCCAAGTCAGAAGTTGGTGCCCTGCAAGGTGGTGAGCTCTCCATCGCTGGGGGTATGGAAGCAGAGCACAGAGTAGTTGCCCCTGGGCTTAGAAAGAGCTCATGAGCATCCACCAGGCACAACATGAGGACAGCATGAGCCAAGAGAGAACAGAGCATGCTCTATGTAAGAGCTTTCCAAAAGAAGTAAGAGCATTAAGTGACAATGTCATGTGCAAAGGCCCAGGGGCCTAACTGTGCAGATATGTTGTATCCCTCCAGGGGAAGCTGTCTTTTCTTTAGGAGAGGGGACATTATTAGTGGGGAAGTGAGTTTGAGAGAGAAAGAAAAGACAAAGTCCCAAGAATCTAGGGCTGTCTGAGATACAAAGCACATCTCTGAATTGGACAACCCCAACTTCCAGTTCAAAAACATGCCTCCATCCGCTTGTTTTATAAGGTCCTCTGGTTGGAGACCTGGGAAGGGGCTGGAGAGGGCTTGATGCAGCCTAACTTCATGCCAAGGGACACAGCCAGAACAAGCCAGGGACTGTGCCCCGACTTCCCAGGTGAGAGAGGGAGCCAGGCTCGGAGAGGCCCAGAAACGTGGCCCCACCTCCCAGTCTGTCCTTTCCAGGACCAGCATTCGAACTCAAGCCAGTGTCTCCACCCCTCACTGCCTTGCCCAGCAGCCCCTACCCCTGGGCCTCCCACAGCCTGAACCACCCCACTCCCACTGTGAGTCAGACAGAGGCCGTCTCCCTCCCCCAGCAGCCGGAGCACAGTGCCCTTCGCCTGCCTCCGGCGGCCCCACTTCCCCTTCTCAACAGCCCCAGGCAGGTGGGGTACCGTGAGCAGCGACCAGCCCAAGGCCACAGGCAGGGTGACCTCAGAGCCTGCCAGTCCGGGCCTGGGAGAAAGGAGAGGCTCAGCTCCTGTACCCCCAGTCCAGGAAGCGGGGTGGACAGAAGCAGACCTCTGTGCTCCAACCTACGCGCCAGGCCAAGGGCCCGGGCTGAGCCGTGTGGCTGTGGGGCTGAGGACCCTGGTAACTCTGCTCCCCAGCCAGGGATCCCCTCGGGGCTGGGCTGGAGGCACTGGGGGCGGCTCCTGGTCTCACAGCCACCTGCCCTCCCCAGGACAGCCACCCCACCCTGGGCGCTTGGAGCTCCAGGGACAGCAGCTAGGGTAGGAAGCCGCCCACTGACTTGCTGCTGCCCTGGCCTCAGTTTCCCTGGACAAGGTGTCACCTCTACCTGCACCTGGGGCCACTGAACAAAGGAGCCCCTGAGGCCTGAGCTCCTACAAGCCGTGGGACATCACGCGCAGGCTGCCTCCACTAGCACAGCCACGAAGCTGTGTCCTCCCCATTAGGAGGCAGCATGGCTCCTCCAAGTCCCCAAGCAGATCCAGAACCCAGAAGTCTGGGTTTCCAGGCCTCCCTCCCCCAAGGTGTCCGCAACCTCTGCCGCCCAGATGTCGCCTGCGCCCTGAGCTTGCCCACACCCCTTCACTCTCCGCAGGTGACACAGTGCCTTCGAGCCGATCGTGTCAGACGGCCCCAGGCCCAATCCAAGCTCTGCTTCCGAATCCATAACTAACCTCTCTGGGCCTCAGGCTCCTCATCAGGACATTGGGTGATCCCTGGACCTGCCTCGGACCCCACCTTTGTGGGAGGTAAAAGGGCAGGGCAGGTGCTGTGGGCCAGCACTGTGGAGAAGCCGGCTTCCTCTCCCCCAGAAACACTGAGCACCTACTGCCTCCCCACTAGACTAGCACCGACTCTGGCCTGCTGGCATCAGTCTCCAAGGGAAGCCAAGAGAGAGCAGAGCATACTCTACATAAGAGCTTTCCAACAGAAGAAAGAGCATTAAGTGACAACAGCTTGTGCAAAGGCCCCGGGGCCTGACTATGCAGATATGTTGTACCCCTCCAGGGGAAGCTGTCCCTTCTTTAAGAGAGGAGACATTACTAATGGGGAAGTGAGGCCCAGAGAGGAAGACAGGGACCAGCCCCCAGTCACACAGCAAGGCGTGCACAGTCAGAATCAGCTCAGCCCTCATTCCCAGCTCCACGCCGGCCACCAGCCTGCTCAGCCCAGCCCTCACCGTTCTACTCTCCGTTCCTCTTTTTCACCCATTCCTCTGTTCCTCCTTGGTCTCAATTCCCTGTTCTGCTTCCCTAAGCTGAGCAGGGGAGGAAGTGACCGAGGGCACAGGAGATGTGGTTTCTTTGCTGCTGGCTCTGAGAAGCACCCTGCAGCTTGAGCTGAAAAGAGCAGGGTCACACAGAAGGGACAGAGATGGCAGGGTGACCCCGAGTGTGGCCGGGGGACAGTCAGGCTGATACACCGAGGAGAGCCCCAGAACAGCGACCCCATAGTGAGGACATGGCAGGGTGGTGATGGTAAAGACCACGTGGGTGGGGGCGACTTCAGACCCTCCCAACTCTAGATTCAAAGACCAACTTCCTCCCGGGAAGCTTCACCTTGGACCTGCCGCAGTCTCAGAGGAGGCCTGGGGAGACCTCCCTCCTTCCCCGTGTGGCTCTCGGGGTAAAATCTGAACCCTCCATGTGCGGCTGGGCCCCGAAGGGCACTTCCCCATCTGCTAACTTCAGGACGGTTCCCCGCTGTGCTGGGATGGAGGACTCTGCCTGCGTGACTCGGCACAGCCTCACCCTTCCCCAGCAGATAGCACGGCTGGCGAGCGAGTCCCGGGGCCGTGCCCTGCCTGCCACGTATCTCAGGGCTGCCCACCTCGCCCCTGGGTCCCCACTGGGGGCTCCTAGGCTGCCACACTCCGAGGCCATTACGTCAGATGTCCACGATGGCCTCCTCCTCACCTGGCCCCATTTCCCCAGGGTCTCCCAGGGCTGCCTGGGAGAAGGCAATGACACCCGACGGATCAGTAGGGAGAGGAAGCCCCCTCCACCACCCACACTTCCTGTTCCAGCTTATCAAGGGCAGCTGGGCGGGAGCCGTTCCCCCACTGTGCTATCTCCCCAGCCACCTCTCCATCCAGCTCAGATACCATCACAACACCCCTGCCCCAGCCTGACACCCTCAGCTGCAACCGCCAGCTGCCTTCACCTCCCAGAGCCTAGCTCCTCTCTCATCTGTGGCCTTTTTGTCCTTCCCCACTGCCACCCTGATATCACTGTCCCCTCCTCTACTTAGACTCAGGCTCATAGATCTCGACCTCCTCCAAGCCACTTTACTTCTCTGCCTCAGTTTCCCCAGCTGCCAAAGAGAGAGAAGCAGCCATCCATGTGGGAAAGGGGCTGTGAGGAGGGAACAAGGCCACATCTGTCTACTGCGGAGCCCAGTGATTCAGAACGTCAGGCTGGTCTGGGGCCGGGACCATTTGTCACAGCCCAGCCCTCCTGTGGGGAAACACGCAGACTCCCTGGTCAGTTCACACCCTGAAATGCTACCCATGAGCTGCCTGCACAGCGCGGTGCAGCCCCAACCACAACCGCTGAGAAAGAAGCCACATCCATGGGACCCTGCAGCTACTGGTTCCCTGAGCTGAGGGGCCGGGGAGCAATGAGGAGCCACGCTCGGTCCTCACGGCGGGCCCCAGCTGCT